CAATTTGGATGTCAGGGATTCTATTTTCTTGTTTCAGAATATTTTTGACTGCGTTGCAGCCTATATCATGTGGAATTATCGTATATAAAGACTGGACGTCGCATGTGACTAAAATAAAATTGGGTTGCCACAGTTAGTAAGCTCTATTAAATGTGAGTGTATCTTTTATATTTTTTATACCTTTTATCTACTTTTTGGGACATATTGCACTATTATTGCTTTTTCGTTTCATCTTCTACCTGGTTGCCGGTCATCATACTGAAGAGGAAGCTCACCATATATCCTATAAGCGGGGATAATACCGCTGCAAGCCATCCACACCAGAGCTGGATTAAGCTCTACTAAAAGTGAGTATTACCTCTTCTTTTTCATTTGGATACCCGTTGGATCACTCCACACCACCTCATCATTCATCACCCTCCTTCATATACCAGGAAGGAACAAAACTACAGAGACGAACATAATACCAAGTTTTTTATTACATTTGGACTTTATTTCCATATTTTAATAAGGACTTTTCATTTCTGTCTATTGGCGCAGTCCCATCCTTCTATTTGATTGTTTTTTGTATTTATCCCAAGGTCACTTGAGGGAGTCCTTGTTTGGGATTGCTGCCTCTTGTATCTCTCTCCAATATATTAGCGCTGACTCTATTCTCTATTACTCGTATTATACTAGATTGATTGAACGATGTAACAAGGATATGATTGTTGTCCCCACTCATGTTACAAATGTAATTTACACAATTCTACGGGATACCTTGTATGTTTAAAAATGCTCGGTCATTTGTATTATATGCCTGTACTGTTTTGAAAAATCCAATAAGATATATATATGGAAAAATAAAAATAATAGATCAGGGTGGTGCAGTAGACATTGCTTACCTAGATTTCAGTAAGGCTTTTGACACTGTTGCACATAGAAGGCTTATCAATAAATTGCAATCTTTAAGTTTGGATTCCAATATTGTTGAATGGGTAAAGCAGTGGCTGAGAGACAGGCAACAGAGGGTTGTAGTTAATGGAATATATTCGAAGTTTGGACTTGTCACCAGTGGGGTACCTCAGGGATCTGTACTTGGACCCATTCTCTTTAATATTTTTATTAGTGATATTGCAGAAGGTCTTGATGGTAAGGTATGTCTTTTTGCTGAGGATACTAAGATATGTAACAGGGTTGATGTTCCAGGAGGAATAAGCCAAACTTAGGTAAACTAGAAAAATGGTCAGAGTTGTGGCAACTGACATTTAATGTGGATATATGCAAGATTATACATCTTGGGCATGAAACACTAAGGGCAGAGTATAGAACATTTGGAATAGTCATAACCTCAACATCTGAGGAAAGGGATTTAGGGGTGATTATTTCAGATGACTTAAAATTTAGGCAGACAATGTAACAGAGCAGCAGGAAATACTAGCAGAAGGATATTGATCCTTTGGAGAGAGTTTAGAAAAGAGCTAAAGAACTGGTTCATGGATTGCAGGGTAAAACATACCAGAAAAGGTTAAAGGAACACTATAGTCATCGAAACAACTTTAGCTTAATGAAGTCGTTTTAGTGTACAGATCGTGCCTCTCAGGTTGTATTGCCATTTAGGAGTTAAATCACTTTGTTTCTGTTTATGCAGCCCTTGTCACACCTCCCCTGGCTATGATTGACAGAGCCTGCATGAAAAAAAACTGGTTTCACTTTCAAACAGATGTAATTTACCTTAAATAATTGTATCTCAATCTCTAAATTGAACTTTAACCACACACAGGAGACTCTTGCAGGGTCTAGCAAGCTATTAACATAGCAGGGGACAAGACAATCTAAATTTAACAACTTGCAATATAGAAAGGATAAACTTTAGATGACTCTTTACAGGAAGTGTTTAGGAAGGCTGTGCAAGTCACATGCAGGGAGGTGTGACTAGGGTTAATAAATAAAGGGATTTAACTCATAAATGGCAGATAGAGCAGTGAGGCTACAGGGGCATGTTCCATACACTAACACTGCTTCATTAAGCTAAAGTTGTTTTGGTGACTATGGTGTCCCTTTAACATGTACAACTTTGAGGAAAGTTGAGACAGGAGGGACATAATAGAATCCATTAGGTATGTAAGGGGAATCAACACCGTAGAGGAGGAGGAGAGTATTTAAAAGAAGGAAAACTACCACAAGTGGAAGACATCTTAAGTTAAAGGAGCAAAAGTTAAAATATCAGGAAGTAGTGGATGCATGGAATAGCTTTCCAGCTGAAGTGGTAGAGGCTAACATACTGATGCTGTTTAAGCATGCCTGGGATAGGCATAAGGCTATCCTAACTATAAGATAAGGTCAGGGACTAATGGAAGTATTTAGAAATTGGGCAGATGAGATGGGCCAAACGGTTCTTATCTGCCAAACTTTGTGCTTCTATGTTTCTAAGAACAAGGATGTGGGATTTGCCTTTTAAGATAAACAGAAGAGACAAATGAGAGGCTAAAATGGATTACTTTACCAAAAAAAAAAAAAAACCCACACATTTTCCAGTGCTGTGCATGGGTAGAATTTTTACAAGTATTAAGACAAAACATACTATGTGTATTTGAGAAACAAATTGAATGAGAGCCCTATTCCCATGGTTACTTAAAATCTAGATCTTAGGAGAGGAAAAAAAAAAATGCAACCTAACAAAAGGCATGAATGCCACTGGTAGGGGAGCTCTTCCCTAGTGATCCCATAGCTGCAATCTTTCAACTTGAGTCTGAGCACTGGAAGATGCAGCAACATCATGCTCATCACCAGTGTCACTGGGTGTAATCTGTAGAAAAGAGATGAAGGCTATCCTCCTGCTAAATGTTATCTAGAGCCAGGAATCAAACAAACCACCCTCTCCTGCATCTTACTGGGAAAGGAATGGCAGATTATGAAAAGTAAGCTGGCCAACTGCAGAATGCTTCGGAACTTGAATCTCACAAAATAGCTTACTCACAAGGACCAATCCAGACACTAAGACATGGTTAGGCAAAGTAGCTAATAAAAGTTTTAAGACTATAGTGTGATGACTTACTATGACTCAAGGGAAGCACTTACTCAATGTAAACTACAGCTTTACAATACCAGAGAGGCTAAAATGGGGCTTCCCCTTGGACTGCAGATTCACAATGAAAGGATATATTCCACCATGACACATTACAAGGGATATAAACCAACCAGGCCTCTGCCCAATGGCTTGTTCCTCCATCCTATGCTGTGTGATAGGGAGCATTGCGCATAAAATTGGACACTTAAGAATCCACAAGTGGCAAATCAAGAGTAACCAAAAACACTCAATTTAGCAGCAATCTTTGACAATTTCCAATTAGGATTTTTTTCCCCCCACTATTTCCCAGGTCAAATTGGAGCTGTGAATGATTTCCTGGATTGAGTTTTGGTGTGCATTCTACCTAATGCATTTTAAATTGAGTTCCTACTTCACAGGCAGTGTCACTCCTGGAATTGTAACCACAGCAGTTCTGTTTAGTAACCCTGTAAGACATAGCTAACCTAGAGAGTCCACCCTACAAATCAGGTACCGTGGCCTAAAATTTATCTTTCCTGTAAGTTCAGTCTGAATTAGTTTCAGTGCTTAGTGGATCTACCACTAATAAAATATCCTCTGGGTACTGGAATATGAATATTCATTTCTTCTGTGTTACACTGTTGCCTTTCCTATAAAAAGAGAGTGGATAGAGAGCAACTGTCTATTGACAAATAATTGGAAACTTCCCAATATATTGGATTTCAGACAGTGGGGGTCTTTTCTATCATAGCAATCTCACATAAGAACTGATTTGAATATTCATTCCAGGACCCCAGAGGATATTTTTAGTGGAAGGTCCACCAAGTGCTGACTTCATATATTATTTCATTAAGCATGGTAATTTTTTGTATTGTGTTTTAGCTTTACATTTATATTATACCATTTGAGTTTTATTGCGCTCTTTTATAGTCTATAATTTGACTATTGTCAGTCACTTTTAATTTGCAAATCTTGCACCCAAGCAGACTGTTAATTCCCTTAGTCATTGTCTTGCCCATAAGGTAGTGCTGATCTCACCTAATGTTTTGCCCTGACAGGCAAGTACTTGTGTCCATTTTGTCTGGGGGGGGGGGTGCACCCAGGAGGAACCCTTACCTTTAAGGCAAGCCAAATAGTGCCATTGTTAAGAGGTATGTTAAGCAATTGGGAGCTAATGAATTTCTTAGTGTGTCAACTGACTGATCTGAACCAGTCAGCAGTGCCCCTGGCCCAACAGCACTATGTAACAGAGTTTAAGTTTTTCAGGTGGAATCAGCTCCTCAAATTGGCACTGGAGGCAAACTAAAGGAAAACAAAAAAATAAAAAAATTTGATAAACATTTTAAGGTAAGTGCACCTGGGGGCCTCAGGCCCATTAACCTCACTTAGCTGAAGTGTGACTGGAGTGTCCCTTTAAGGACCACAACCCAGGCCACTTAGTGTTCCTCTGTTAGACATGGTAGCAGAGTAAATATTCTAGTAGCTGTAATCCTGCCAGCCAATAGTGAGCTTTCCACAGGACTGACTAAACAGTGTTCTGTCTAAGTCCCCAGATCCATGCTTCCCCTTGGAAAACATTGGGTCCTTGAGTCTACTCTGACAAGCATGACTCATTAATGTTGTACAAGAGTAAAGAGTAGGAGATCAGACCAGAGTGTTCAAGCACAGGTTATTGCCTATGCCTTAGTGTCACTTACAGAGGTGGATGCTACATTCAAGATAATGTTTCAGCTTGTCTCCACATGAAGTCCTCAATCATACAAGCCATATCCAGACAAAAAAAATATAAAAACCCACTACAGTTCCTGTGAGTGTTGAGGATGCTCATCCTTTTACAGCTTTATCACATGAAATAAAATTACACCTAGATAGGCTAGTCTTCAATTTGATATATTAGATGGTACCAAGCATGTAGAAAAGTAGTAGAGTACTCAGACCCAGGTAATGTTATATTTATTATGACATTAGGATTGTACAGTCAGATGTTTATGACAGCCACTGTGTGACCAGACATTGACAGCCACGTGAGGTTCATTAGCCATTTCAATGAGTTTGTGCTCAGCTCTTAGAAGATCTATTCTTAAGAATGAACATTCCAGACACAGACATTAGAACAAGACTCAGTGAGGCAACTGCCCCTAGCACCCAGAGCTCCATTGATAAAGATGACTGGGTTACAGCAAGGGACTGATGCTGATCTTCTCCAATCACCAGCAGAGGTCCCAGTATTGTCTGCTTGTGTTCTTGCACTGAAGGAAATTTTGGAGAAAGGAAGTCTAGGTTTAGGATTCTTACAGGAATATATTTAAACATATTGAAAGAGTGAACAAAAAAAAAAAAACACAACCTCAAAGTTAATACTTCTAGAAGGTGGCCTATAGGTAAGAGTAATGGCCTGCAGTCCCAAGTTGTTGCTCCTTACCTTGACTGCATTACTGAATATGCAGCTACTTTTAGGAATTTTACACACCTGTTACAGCTTCTCTCTTAAATTCCCTCTGACCAGGATACCGTGAATAAAGTCCTCGGCTCTGACCAACAGTAGCACAGTTTCCAGAGTCACAACAACTGCAAATGTTACCAGTGCCTTCAAGAGCTGTCCAGCTGGAGAGACAAACATCAGTAATTCTCATACATGACCAAGTTGAAACAAACTTGTGGAATAACTGTTAATCTTTTGGTTTGGGAAATTCACCAAGGCAGTTTTATGCAGTTTGGCCATTGAGTTTACGTTAAAGTCATTAGTGCACTTCAAATAAGATGCAAAGAGAGCCATGCATTACTTACAGGTTTGTAGATTTGCTGAAGGAACAGGCCTTGTTCATGGGATCAGGTACCTGGTTCTCTGAAACAGCTCTCAGGTTACAGGTGATGTAGATCTACAAACAAGTTTATATAGGAATGTCAGTGTAATGTGGACTAGACTTGTCAGCAGTGCACTGATTGAGCAGTCCTCCCTGGGTGACATGCTGCCTGGATGGGTGTCTAGCCAACTTCATGCAGGGGCTGGAGAGCCCATTACTTCCACACTCACTTTGCTGACAGAAATTCATAGGGGCATTTGAGGCAGCACCTCACAAGTTTTAATGTGGGGAATAAAAAAAAAAAAAATTAAAATTTTTAAAAATCCATGAGTTTCTACTGAGGTTACATTTGGTCAGAGCCAGCTGCCCATGAGTGGAGTCATGCTATTGGCCTCTATTTAGGCCATCATTGGCCAATAGCACCTGTTTATAGTGCCTACAGGAGAAGCAAGGAGCCATCTTGCAACTAGCAGATTGCAAAGCAGCTCCTGGTCACTGCCAAAAGTATTATATTTCTCTCCCAATAGCAACTGAGTATGCACCATGGAAACCTAAGGTGACATGAAGAAACAGACTTACAGCACTGTGGTCTGTCACTAATCATTCTACTAACTCGCTGCACATACAGACCATCTTAAAAGAAATTGGTCACTCTACAGCTGAGACCCGGACTCATGCTTGGCTAGTTGAAAAGTTGCAATGCTTTAAACTGTAGAAAGAAAGGGACGGCAGATAAGAACCATTTGGCCCATCTAGTCTGCCCAATTTTCTAAATACTTCCATTAGTCCCTGGCCTTATCTTATAGCTAAGAGCCTTATGCCTATCCCACGCATGCTAAAACTTTTACTGTGTTAACCTCTACCACTTCAGCTGGAAGGCTATTCCCTGCATCCACTACCTTCTCAGTAAAGTAATACTGCCTGATATTTTTAAACCTTTGTCCCTCTAATTGAAGACTATGTCCTCTTGTTGTGGTAGTTTCTTTTAACTATATAGTCTCCTTTACTGGGTTGATTCCCTTTATTTAAGGGTTTCTATAATATCCCCTCAGTCTTGTCTTTCCAAGCTATACATGTTAAATTCCTTTAACATTTCCTTGTAAATTTTATGCTGTAATCAACCAGTTAACCCTGCTCTGAACTCTCTAAAGTATCAATATCCTTCTGGAGATACTGTCTCCAGTACTCGAAGTGAGGTCTCACCAGTGTTCTGTACAATGGCATGAGCACTTCCCTCTTTCTACTGCTAATACCTCTCCCTATACAACCAAGCATTCTGCTAGCATTTCCTGCTGCTCCATTACATTGTCTGCCTACCTTTAAGTCACCAGAAATAATCACCCCTAAATCCCTTTCCTCATATGTTGAGGTTAGGACTATCAAATATTCTGTACTCTGCCCTTGGGTTTTTACGTCCAAGATGCATTATCTTGCACTTATCCACATTAAATGTCAGTTGCCACAATTATGACCATTTTTCTAGTTTACCCAAGTCATTTGCCATTTGGCTTATCCCTCCTGGAACATCAACCCTGTTACATATCTTAGTATCATCAGTAAAAAGACACCTTACCAGCGAGACCTCCTGCAATATCACTAATAAAAATATTAAAGAGAATGGGTCCAAGTACAGATCCCTGAGGTACCTCACTGGAGATAAGCCCATGCTTTGAATATACTCCATTGACTACAAACCTCTGTTGCCTGTCACTCAGCCACTTCCTTACCCATTTAACAATATTGGAATCCAAACAAAGATTGCAGTTTATTGATTCTATGTGCAGGAGTGTCAAAAGCCTTACTGAAATCTAGGTAAGCAATGTCTACTGCACCACCCTGATCTATAATTTTAGTTACCTAATTAAAAAAAAAAAAATAAAAAAAAAAAAAAAATAATAAGATTAGTTTGGCATGATCTTCCTGAAGTAAACCCATGTTGTCTCTGATCTTGAAATCCATGTGTTTTTAGATGTTCATCAATCCTATCCTTTAACATGGTTTCCATCACTTTCCCCACTACTGAAGTAAGGCTTACTGGCCTATAGTTGCCCGACTCCTCCCTATTACCTTTCTTGTAAATGGGCACAACATTCGCTAACTTCCAATCTTCTGGGACTACTCCTGTTAACAATGATTGGTTAAATAAATCTGTTAATGGTTTTGCTAGTACACCACTAAGCTCTTTTAATAGCTTTGGGTGTATTGCATCAGGTCCCATTGACGGGTCTTTACTTTTGACAGTTGAAGTAGAACCTCTTCTGTAAACTCACATGTAACAAATGACTGATGATTTGTTTTATAATTACTACATACTAACTTTGTTTTTAACTATTTTGGCCACATCTGCGGAGTACCACAGTGGTTTCTTGAATTTTTTGCCTTTACTGGCAAGCAAAATGCAATTTTCTGTTGCCTTTAATTGTGCAACTTTTAAATAATCCCATTTCTCTTGGGCTCCATTTAAATTGCTCCAGTCTGATAATGACTCCTTAATGCATATTCTAATTTTAGAAAAGTCTGTTTTTCTGAAGTCTCAAACTTTAGCTTTTGTGTGGTGTGACTCAGTCACTATTCTTTTATTAAACCACACTGATGGTCACTGGATCCTAAACTTTCACCTGTGCCCAGATTTGTATTTTATTCAGCTCTACCCAACTTTATGTATTTTAAACCTAGGTTGTGCCCAGCTATTTTGTATCCAGTGTTGCCATACAGCCAGGAATAATACTCTGGCACCCACCATCTTAAGACTTCAGCTGCCACTGATTGCTACAGCCCATACAAGTATGTTGTACAGAAAATAAGATTGACCTAGCAGAATCAGGTTGGGCAACAGGATAGCCTGTTTTTCCCAGTTTGCTTGAAAAGGTATTTACTGCATCTGTGAAATCCTTTTAAAAAAAAAAAAAAATATATATATATATATAGTTTGTTACAGATGCATCTTACCAAAGACTTACCATTGAGTTATCAGATCCAACAAATCTGAAGGCATCAACTGTGAACTGGAGCCGGTCTGGTGTGGGTTGTGGTGATCTAAAGGAAGATGATGAATCCTCCTGTTTGCCATCCATCAAACACCTGCAAAACAGATTGTTTAGAAGGGGGTATAACCAGCTACCACAATTCCACAAGTGGCAAAACCTACCCATTCTGAGCAATGATCTCATAACGAGGACTGGAGGTGGCATCAGGGGATAATGTCGCCACACAGCCATCAACGAAGACCTTCATGGGCACATGGTTCAAGGTGTTCACAGAAGCCTCTATGTGGAAAATATCACCTAAACTGAAGACTGTAGAGGTTCGTGGGGTGCTCCAATCATCTGAAAGGAAATACAGCAGAGGTGTTAGCGACGTCAGACAGAAGCCACCCATCACATCCAGCCATTAATTACCATTCATCAGCTTCAACGAGAAGGACAGACGTTCCTCTGCAGATATGGTGGAGCTGAAAGGAATCCATGTTGGTTTGATGGCATTGCTGCTCACATTGCCATGTCTGCAAAGGAGAATGGTAGTCGTCAGAGTCCTTGCATTCATACAAGGCAACTAGTCTTTCAAATAAGAGCAGTGATTTTGGTTGGTCCCACTAACAAGCCAAGTGGGCATTGTAGAAGGGTCCCACATACCAGCCTGCCTAGATCAACATGTACTCTTAGTTCTTGTCTGGGAGGATATAAGAGCCCCAATCTAGATTTTTGATAGGCAGAGTTTATCAAGTGTGGGCACCCATAACCTAATTTTTAAATAAGGCATTCAGGAAATGTTAAGAAACTGAAGGAAGACAATAGAAAGCAGTATTAACCAATTTATAGAACTCTAACGTCATCTATTTCCAATAGTTAGGATTTTGTTCAAACAAATCCAATATCAAAAAGTTTAGGCATAAGCCTGGATGACGATATCTATATATTCACCTGAGGTAGTAGCATTGGATGGGAATTGCAGCAGAGTTGGATCGGATGATGGGACTGTTCCTGGAAGGGGTTGGGCTGTAGATCAGGTTTGTGCTGTAGATCAGCCAGTCTGAAGTCATCTGCAGAGAGATTTAGACTAGGTTGATATTAATGTGCCATTGGAATGTTTATTTTTGTGCCAGATATGTATAAAGTTTCGCTCATATGTTATATAGCCAGTGATTACTTTGTATCTGTGGTCTCCAACTGTATAGAACATGTTAGAGAGACACCCAGACCACTTCTGCCCACTAGAGTGGGTTGGGTGCCAACTCCCACTACCTTTAACCCTGCAGCTGTAATTATTGCAGTTTTCATAGACTGCAAGTTACATTGCAGGGTTAATTCCTCCCCTAGTGACTACTAGCTTTTTAGTAGATAACTTGCCCTTCTGTGGCATAGCTATAAAGATACCAATAACCAAATAAGTAATGAGAAACAGCTTTTGCTTATTTAGTAATGCATTCCCAATATTGCATTAAAAGTGCACCACTTTATCTGCATAGTTTGGCTAATTGTATACCCTTTACTCTGGATTTTCCTGTAATCTTATGGAAACAAATAAATTGTATGCTTCATTAGTGCAATCCCACATGCTACAGAGTTAGTGGCCATCTACCAACCAGATACCGTGTACAAAATTGAAAAGTATTTTTCTTAATTCTGACTTTAAGCCAATTGGAAGCTGGTTGGCCAGTTTTCCATCTGGCATATGACAGTCACTGTTACACTTTGACTAGCCTTCTATTTGAAGTGAGAAGCTACTACCCTTTCTATATTTAGAGACAGTCAACCAGTAGAAGCAAGTTAGAAAAAAAAACCCTCAGACAGCCAGTCAGATAGCAGGGAGCAGTGTTGAATTTTCTCACTACTTGTGAAGTTGTGCCAATTTAACATTTCCCCTCAATATTAAAAAAAAATAATAATAAAGTGCCCAGGCCTGCATGGAGGGATGAGAATGTTATGATATAAACAGCTGATTGAGTAGTTTGACATCATACCTCCCAAGTTCCCCTGTTTTGAGCCCAAATCCCTCTAGGAGCACCATATGTTTTGTAAGTGTGTAAGAGCTCCACAGCAGTAGTACTTCCAGTAATGGGTCTTTACTTTCTCTTCAGTCAACATTAGGAAACTACATTAAGTTAGAATAGCAACTAAAATTTGTCCCTGGTTACCCTAGAAAGTGAAGTGTCCCACTGTCCATTTAGTATTCTGGGAGGGAGACATCAAGGTCCATGTACCAGTTGCACACCATTTAGGAGTGCCATTAGATCATAGTGTTAGAGACCCACGTACACCATGCCAATAATGGGAAACGTCCATAGAGGAGCAGAAACCCACAGTTCTTCCATACTGGTCTTTGATTGGTTAATTTTGCATTAGATGTATGCTTTCCATGTCCTCATCAAGCAAGAGCCAGTGAGGGTTATAGTCATTAATATGCCTTGAGACCCACATGGATTAGGAATATCACTCCTACAACAAGTGAATGTCAATAGGGCAGCACTTTTCATGTACAAATCACATGCACAGCAGAAAATTGGATCTAATAAGCCAATCCAGAGAATCTTAAGACTACATGTACACAGTCCTGGCTATTAAACCACACACACACGGATATTTACTAAAGTGAGAATTCAGAGAGGTTTAAAGTTGAACACTCTTAAAGCCAGCTATTCTTTTAGCTTGGCTGCACTGACCTGGTTATAAACTCACACCTTGAATTAATCAGCAGTTTAACACTGCAAGTTAATCTTAAACTCAATGTTTCCCTGCATAGAGTATTACACCAGCATCTTTACCCATTATAAAGCAAATATTACCACAAAAAACACACACCACCCTTTGCATCATTTAGTCTCCCCTCCAACTAGGTCCCAAACCCACTCACCTGTAAGGTATTGCCGCAGTCCTGCAGCCCCTGCTGGAAGATCACAGTAGTTGCTGTACTCTGGGAGCTTGGCATACACTGCCTGGGACCCAGACTTAGATCTGAGGCTTTCACCAGCCGCCCATTTCCATAGAGATCCCGCTTTACAGATACCACCATTGCATCTTCCATACATTGCACACTGATCGGATGCTGGACAGGAGTCTGCAGCTGTCTGGATTGACCCACCACCCCAACATTCAGCCTGGAGGACCCCCAACCAGACGGTGTCCTCCCCCACCAGGAGTCATACTGTCTCCGATTCCTGGCTAGGACATTCTTCCTGGAAACAGCCAACTCTGGGCCAGAGACCAGTAACACCAAGAGAAGGCAACTCAGTCTAGCCCACTGTCCCATTCTGACTTCAGTACAATGACTACCTGTACAGCCCTGCCCTTTATATACCTCTCCCACCAGCTGCAGGTAGGTACCTCTAACTAGGAAAAGTCATCTGTATAACCCCACCCACCAATTGCAGTAGGTACCTCTATCTAGGAAAGGTCATCTGTATAATCCCACCCACCACCTGCAGGTACCTCTAATAAGGATAATAGATGTGTTCAACCTTTCCCACCTTGAGTTTCCAAGTTCACCATGTGTTCCTGAGCATGGATAATTATTGAATATTGCAGGCCTCCGAACAGTCCCTATTTTGTCAAGACATTCCCTATTTTGGGGTTCTGTCCCAACTTTGTTCTCTCATGTACTACTTTTAGGGACAGCAGGTGACTGTTGCCATAAAGTGTAGTAGGAGTGCATCACATTGCTATTATTATGTATATATTGCCAACATATTCCGCATCACTTTACATTATAAAAGAGGGAAAACAAGTAATTCACACACGGAATATAACAGAGACACTAGTTAGAGAAGACCCTGCTCAAACGATCTTACAATCTACGAGGAAGGGGTAAAAACACAAGAGAAATAATAGCATGTTATCCCCTGGGTGCAAGAGAAATATTATGTGTGATGCTTTATGTACCGACATTTGGAGGTGTCATTAAGGTATCGCTGCATGTTATAACGTCGTGGGGTAAAAGACTAATACAGCCGGGTAGAGTTTATAAATATAGGTTCACATTATACTCAGAATTTGGTGTCACAGTGTGATTTATGTTAGAATATGTTAGAGCTGGACTTGGCATGGTACAGGGCTGATTTTAGGAAGTCAATATAATATTTCCCTTGGGCACCTGGATTTTGTTTCCACCTAACAATGTCTTTGGCGCGAAACGGAGCATAACCTTCAGCATTTTGTAACTGGCGCCATAGGGATCGAACATCTCCGCCAAACAATGAATAAGCCAATTAAAACAAATGCATGATCAGCACCTGTGGTATCCAGGCACCGTAATTACTTGAAGTGGTTATAGTGCCTACAATGTTCCATTAGTGAGCAAATTAATTCTGCAAATAGCAGGGCAGCACTCATCAATGTGAAGGAGTGATATAATTTTATGGAAACACTATGAATATAGCAACCCATTCCCACCACCTGCAGGCTTGCTATTGATATAGTTAACTATTTACAAGAAAAAAAAGAAAAGCAACTGTACTGCTGTCTTTTGGTGCAAAGCAAATTTCTAATTTAAAGCCAAAATAGCAGAATTAGAAAAATCCTCTAAATCAGCTACGCTTCCAGTTCTGCTACTTTGGTCTAAAATTTGAAATTAATTTAAAGTTAAAACTGAAAGTGAATTGAATCCGCATTTCATGACAGGCGCATAGTCACCATATGAGAAGGTGGAATTACCCCCAAAACTTACATCCAAAAACACACTGACACTGATGTATGGGTCAATATGTCCACAGCTTTATTAATATTGATAACAATAAAATGAAAGTCATTGCCCAGCCCCCCATCCTGCCATATAACATCATATGTCCCCGAAACAACAGGCAATGACCCATATTTTCTGTAAATATAAATAACACAAATAACAACAATAACAAACATCATAAACATAATATAAGTGCCAAACTTTGTTAAATAACCAGGATAGAGGTATACCCGGATACCCTTACCACCCACCAGGTTCTGAGCCACCACCGAGCTCGAAACCTACTAAGGTTCATAACGAACCATTTAACCAAACTCTTGACCTGCAGCCTAACTGCCCTATTCTATATACACTAACCCAGAGCCTGTTTGTTCCCTAACTTGTCTCTCTCTAGCCCTGCCGTTGTGACGAAACAGGAGCTAACACCCCTTAACCGTTTACATGGGAGGGACAAATTAGGCCAGGTAAGCAATTTAAAAGTGCTTAATTCTAAAATGTCTGTCTATTTATACTGGACTAACCCCTTAACAATCCAATTCCAGTGGTCCTTCCCCCTATGCCCCCCTCCTAGCTCTGTTAAGCCCCATTCCACTAAGCTGCGCTTGTTCCACTAAGTCAGCTATATCTTAAGATCAACTATTCTGGAATTAAATTTGAAATTCACTTTGAATTCTCAATTTAGTGAATAATCCTACATGAATGTAAAAGGGGGGGCGGGGGAAGTTCACATTTTTGCTTGTAATACTTTTTTATACATGCAGTGCAACTATATAAAACAAGATTAAAAAAAATAATGTATCAGTCCTGATTGATGAATGTCTAATGTGGCATGATTTAAATTAATATTTGATAAGTGACATCCAAACCCCCAAACTAACGCTTTACCAACCATACTCCTTACCCAAGGCACTAATTCTAATCGTGTACCTACAATAATTACACTGTGATCAGAACTAGGCAGCTGGGGGGTGGGGAGTGCTTGGTTGTCAGTTGAATGTATGGGAATACGAGATTACCCCTTATTAGTAATCTCAGCAGCGCCAGCTTAAATTTGATCTACTGGCCATATATAACTAATTTATCTTATTAATCCTAATAAATGTCACATACTGAATGGTAAAAAACCATTCAGTGCCGTATAAGGCCGTTTGAAACTGCAAAATACAGATATTTTTAACAGTATGTAATAATATCCAGATATGGAATATTTTAAACCCTGCCCAATCACCAAAAAGTAAAAAGGTGGAGTGCTGTTTTCCCAAGGTAAGATAGAAATACTTTCTTCTTAATATCTGTGATGATAGCTATACACTGTTCTCCCACTTTCACTTCCTTTCTATCCTAGCTGCTGGTGATGTCTCTCCAAACCTGGTCCCATCTCGGTTAACCCACTACGTACTAACTCAAGGAACCACACCAATCTCATACCCATCTTATGTTACTCTTCCTCTAAATCCTCCTTCAATACTGCCCTCTGGAATGCACGCTCTGTTTGCAATATTAACCCCTTAGGGACCAAACTTCTGGAATAAAAGGGAATCATGACATGTCACACATGTCATGTGTCCTTAAGGAGTTAAAGACCCCACTGCTGTCCACAACCTCTTCATCTCTCATTCCCTAGACTTACTAGAAACATGGCTCTCCCCATCTGCCACTGCTACCCCTGCATCTTTATCTTTCAGTGGCCTTCAATTTACCCACAACCCAAGACACTCTGAATGTAAAGGTGGTGGTGTAGGGTTTCTACTCTCTCCTCATTGCTTATTCAAACCTCTACCCCCCTTCACTATCTTTCTCATCATTTGAAATCCATTTGATTCACCTTTTCAAGCCCATCTCTGCTAACAGTGCCGTTATGTATCGCCCCCTTGGTCACCCTCTCCTCTTCCTTGACCACTTTGCTGCCTAGCTACCACACTTCCTCTCCTCTAACATACCATCTCTAATTCTCAGGGACTTCAGTATTCCCATCAACTCACCCCTGACCTCAGCAGGCTCTAAACTACTATCAATTACTTCCTTCCTTGGGCTATCGCAGTGGGCTAATTTCCCCACCCATGTAGCTGGAAATACCCTCAACCTTATTTTCTCTTATGCATGCACAGTGTCTAATATCTCCAACACTCCATTTCCCCTCTTTGACTACCACCTCTTATCATTTGCTCTTGAATACCCCCTCACCCAACAACTTCAGCCTAACCCCCTCAACTCAGGAAGAACTTTAATTTTATTGACCTCCAGCAGCTGTCAGCTGATATTGTTTCACAACTCCTATCCATCCCTACCCTCTCCTGTCCCTCACTGGCCATCTCCACATATAACACTACCCTCACCTCTCACCTCTGACTTGAACACTGCAGTCCCGCTCCAAACATGCACCTCGAGGAGGACACCAACCCAACCGTGGCATTCTAAATGAACATACTACCTGCAAAGAAGCTCCCATTGAACGCTTATGGAGGAAGTCTCGCACCCAGTGAGACTTTCTCCATTATAGATTTATATTATGTTCATACAGCTCTTGCACTCGCCAAACAGTAATCCTTTTCCTTTCTCATTAGTTCATGCTATTGCAATCCAGGCATCTCTTTGACACCATAAACTCTCTTCTTTGCCCTGCTGTGGCCACCCCCCAAACTAACCCTACAGCCGATAACTGTGCATGCTACTTTACCGACAAGATTGAACAGCAAAGGAAATAATTCTCCCAACCTTGCCATTCTTTTCAAGCACACGTCGATCATGCCTTTCCTACCCTTCAGACTTTTTTCCCGGCTACTGAACAAGACGTGGCTGCGCTTCTAGTTTCCTCTCGCCCCACCACTTGGCGCTCGATCCTGTCCCATCTCACCTTATCAGATCTCTCTCCCCCTGTCTTGTGCCTTCCTTAACACATATCTTCAACTGCACTCTCTTCTGGCATTCTCCCTGCTGATCTTAAACATGCCACTGTAGTACCTATCCTAAAAAAAAATTCCTCGACTCCCCCTCCCACTCTAACTATTGTCCCATATCCCTGCTCCCTTTTCCCCCAAAGGTTCTGGAAAGACTTGTCTTTACCCGTATGTCTCACTTCCTCAATTCCAACACTTCTCTTGACCCTCTTCAATCTGGCTTCCGCACCCTGAAGTCTACTGAGACTATCTTATCAAAGTTACTAATGACCTAATCGAAATTAAATCCAAAGGCCACTACTCCATACTAATTCTTATTGACCTCCCTGCTTGATCATGCTCCCCTCTTCAAACTCTTCAATCACTCGGTCTCTGTGACTCTGTCCTGTCGTGGTTTTCCTCTTATCTCTCCCAACGCTCATTCAGTGTCTCCTTTTCTAATGACACCTCCTTCCTTCATCCTGTCTTGGATGGAGTCTCCCAATGCTCTGTCCTTGGTCCCCTTCTATTTTCTCTTTATACTGCCCCTCTTGGCAAACTAATTACCCCATTTGGATTCCACTACCAACTGAATGCTAACGACACCCAGATATATCTCTCCTCCCCGGACCTCTCCCCTGCCATCTTGCAACCTGTAACTGCTTGCTTTCTTCCATCTCTGACTGGATGTCCTCC